GTATTCCATATCTAGGTATTAGATATCTAGGTATTCCATATCTAGGTATTAATATCTAGGTATTAGAATCTGCAAACAGCCCTCCCCTGTAAACACAAGGAAGAACTTTTTCAGGTTATATGCTAAGTGATTTTAATATTTTCATTATTCTTTTATCAACTTCTGAGTCTTGTTTAAATCCTTAAAGAGAATTTCTTACTGTTTTAGGTTATTATCAATCTAGTTATGTCCAAGCTACAAGTTCTGATCAGCCATCTGTCTACTGTGGTTCCAGTATTAATTTAATTCTCAGAGCTTCTGCAGTGCTGATTGGATCTATCCCGAGGACAGCAGCTAGGATCTGAGCCACAGCTTCTCCTGTACATCCTTCAGTTCCCAAGTCCACATGTGCTTATGATTCAAGAAGTTCTGTGCAAGTTTAAAGATCCAGCCTTTTGGTTCTTTTAGTGACTACTTTTCAGAGTTTGAGATTGGTCGACAGGAATCAATATAAAATTCCAAGAGACTATTTCTGCCTGGAGTGTCTCCATAATTTCCCTCCTAAAATTCCTTCCTATGGTACTAGGAACCAAACCCAGGGCCTTGCACATATAGGTAAGTGACCATCTACCTTTGACAAACATTTCCAGTTCCCTATTGTGTTACCAAGCTACCAAATGAGTCACAGGTAGTGTTGTTCTAAGAAGCCAACAGTAACAAGTAAGGAAACACTCATCTTTGAGGTAGCACAAGGACAAACTCAGGCTCTTGTAGTGTAAGCAAGATGCAACCACTGGATTACATCCCCGAGTACAGAATTCTAGGCCAAAAGGTAGACATTAGCCCATTACTATTTAATGATGCTGTTCAAAATGCCTGTTGTTTATTAGCTCAATGGTCATTCCTCTCTAATCTTTCTCTTTTTGGAAGCTTTTTAAGATCAAACATTTATCTGGGCTGGGAACACAGCTCAGTGATAGCTTGCCTAGCATGTTTGCCAGCACTAGAGAAACAAAATCATGTTTAAATTTGGTATTCTCCAATTTTCTCTCCTGAAGACTCTGCATGCAGTTCCCATCTGGAATCCGGCTTTCTGAAGCTAATAGCCCAGGCTGTAGAAACCCATCCTCAACTAAGAGTAGCTACAAGTGCCCACTGTCTTCTTTGGGAGTAAGTTAGATAGCCGTAGGTTGCGCCTTGCAAGTCTATCACCTGCTTCCTCACTCCTATTTACTTTCTGTGCTTATCCTAGGTAATCTACTCAGCTTTCCTTTACCTCCAACTACCCAATTCTTCAGTCACATCTAACTGCTGTAATGCTTGTTTTTGATTTCCCAGTAGACTGCAGGACTATCTTTCTCAGTTTTCTTTGTTTTCAAGGTCTTCCCAGTCTCCTAGTGTCAGGGTTTAATTCCTCTTGATGTCTTTTTTGATTTAAATCAGACATGGAATCCCTGGTAATTTCATGACCTGAGGTTCTATGTGCTAATATTTCTTTTAGCTTTTTATAGTTTTTAATTACATTCTTAACAATTTTCCCTACTACCCAATTTGTCACTTTGTTTTGGGGAAGTGTCCTCTGAAGTATCATGTGTTAAAAGTTTGATGGTGAATTTGTGCTTTGCTGAGACAGTGGGCCAAGTGGCAGGGAATGTGTCCTCGAATAGGGAGGGTGCTGGGACCCATCTGCCTTTGCTACCTATGCACTATCAAGTTCTTATCTACCGTGTGCTTCTAACCGTGACAGGCTCCAAAACAATGGAGCCAATCATGAGTCAAAACCAGTAAAACTGAGCCAAATCAATCTTTTCTATGTAAGGAAATTAATTTAAGGAATTAGTAAAGCTGGTTATCTCAATTAGGCATGGCGCTTCAGATATACAATCTTAGGGATTCTTGCCTATTTATACTATATAGATTGACCCTACACATACTGTAATTATTCAGCCACCCATAAGGCTGCATTTCTGGGTCCTAAAGGCAGACACATGTGGGTGGACCCTTGGGAACAAAGGGCCTTCTCAACTAAAACCCTTGAGCGCATGCGTGGGTCGCCTGACACCTGCGTCAGTGTGAGCACTCACGCAAACCCTCTGTGTGCACGTACAAGGCGTGGGTCCACCATTCTCAGTGTGTGACGTAGGCACGTCTTCCCCCTGTACGCATGTGCCAGGCAGCCTTTAAAAGCTGGACGCACCTCCCTCCCTCCCCCCTTCCCTCCCTCCACACACTGTTTCCTCAAGCCTGCAAGCACCTTCCTCCTCTAATAAACTCCTAAGTGGGTTTGTGTCTCGTGTCTTCTCACTCACATTTCACATACTTCTCTCACACCTCCTGAAATCTTACTACACTGTTTATGTACTTTGTCATATTGTCTCTGAGTCCTCTTACCACACAGCCTCTATTGTTGGTCAATTTGACCATGAACTTGTAATAAATTCATTTACTCGAAATATATCCCTACTACTATCCATATAAAACTACAGACACCTAACTCCAAAGGCTTTCTGTCAGCTGGTTAGAGATCCCATTCACTGAGCAAGTAATTATTAAGGGACGGGTAGTTACTGTGCTAGAACCTGGCATCACAGAAAAACATGGCCATCTCCTTCAGATGGAATTCTATGGGGTTATGGAGAGGCTCTTCTACCCTCCTGAATACATATGCCGCACAGATGCACACACATATGCACGTAGGCAAACATCATGAGCATAAATGAGTCTAAAAGCACATACACATATACACTAACAAGCACTAAAAGGGACTAGAGAAGAAAGCTTATCGTCTCAGGGTAGTCAGGAAGAGGTAAGCAGAGGCTCTGGTAAGCACATACAGAAACTGTGCGGAATGCAGGTATTTCAGACAAACTGCACAGGGCCTGGACAAAGGCTCAGATGCAGACAATACAGCTCAATCCTACACTTGGCAGTCCTGATTTTAGATGGCTATTAGAGTTAAAAAAATACTAACAGGGCAGTGACACATGCTTTTGATCCTAGCACTGGGGGGGGGGGGGGGGTTGGGTTGGGTTCTCTGTGAGTTCAAGGACAGCCTAATCTACATAGAAAGATCCCATCTCAAAAACAGCAAACTATTTCAAATCTAAATTCCTCACTTAATGTGCTTCCAATCTACCTCCCACTCCCCACCAGTAACAGTCCTAGGTGTCCTGGAACTAATTAGACCAGGCTGACCCTGAACTCAGAGACCAGCCTCTGCCTCCCAAGTGCTGGGATTAAAGGTGTGCACCACCACGCCAGGCTCCAACCTACTTCTCTTAATATCTGTGACTTTGCCTAACCATGCTTGCCCTCTTTAGATTTCACAGAACTATCTGAACACATTTGAAAACGAAGTACCAACCTGTATGATGGTCGCCGGGCCAGGATCCCGTGAGCTTTCTGTGAGGAGCCTATGCTGTCAGATGAGTCCTGAGACTCCTCACTTTCTGATAAAGATGACACCTAAAAATCAGAACTGATTTTAATATGCTGAAGAATACAGATGGGCAAAGAATGAAGTTGTTACTTTCAAAATGATCTGTCTTCCGTCACCCAAATTCCCTGCACATCACTCCTAAGATCTAAAAGGAGGAAAGGGGAAGGACAGCAACTTAACAAACACTTAGACTGGGCAAGGTGCCACCTCTAATCCCAACACTCAGGAGGCACAGGCAGGTGGGTCCATAGAGCCATGGAGCAACCCTGTCCTAAGAAACCAAGAAAGAAAAGAAATCAGAACACACAATACAGTACAGAGCTAACAATAAAGCTTATGTCACAAATAAAATGATACTAGCTGGGGACTGGAAAGATGGTTCAGCCGTTATGAACACTGGCTGCTCTTCTAGAGGTTTGAAGTTCAATTCCCAGCATGTAGCACTCATAAATAAAATACATATGTAAATAAACCTTTAAATGATATTCTGCTGGTTAAGAATAAATCTACTTCTGATCACACCCTGCACCATATTTAGACATGCACTTTGCCTATAGATAACTGTCCTAAGGAGACTGCTGGATCAAGGTCTGTGCTAGATGGATGCAAGTGGGAGGCTGGGGATTGAGACGGTTCAGTGATTATGAGCTGTTCTGTTCTTCCAGAAGACCGGGGGTCAATTCCTAGCAGCCATGCCATGCTGCCTTGGAAGGACTGATAACCTCTGGCCTCCACTGGCACCTGCACATATGTGCAGGTATTCACAAGTACACATAATTTAAGATAGTAAGAGTAAATACTTACCACTGTGAAGACAAAGCTCTTTGGAGCCCTTAAAGCCATAAAATTAAAACAGGCAATCACACGTAACTCAAGAATCCTTTACCATTAATAGACTGGTAAGAGTAGGAGGAGATAAAAATGAGACAAGGGAGTGAGCTGCCCTGGGAAACCAGCGAAGGCCCGGCCAGTTTTAGGGGAAGAGATGGTGGGGGTAGGTATTTCAAGAACTGCAGTGGTCGGCATCAGCGTTGTCTCATCTCATGATTAAATGAACCAGTATGTGTGGCAGATACACAGTAAACATTAACTATTCTTGAACATTTTGAAACCAAGCTTTAAGTAGAGATGTTTCTCTATGTAGCTCTTGCTGTACTGGAGCTTACTCTGTAAAGCGGGCTGGATTAAAGGTGTGCCACAACAGCTCAGCCATTTTTAACTCTTCAAATGAACTAAAAACCAAACATTTGCCTAAAACTGGATTAGGATACCTGGCTTCATTTTTTTGTTTGTTTGTTTGTTTTTCAAGATTAAACATAAAACAATGCAAACAGGCTCTGGAAGCCAGCCCTTGGCACAGCTAGCCTCTATCCAAAGCCTTCCCTCCACTACACGGAGGCCATGCTAGTGTGGGAAAGCTTGCTGCGCATTTTAATCATCGTCTTCAATGAATGAGTTCCAGCCTGATATGGCAGCTCATTCCTGTGACCCTGGAGCTCGGGAAGCTGGAAGACCATGTTTTGAGGCCAGTCAGGACTAAACAGTGACACCCTGTCTCAAAAAAGAAAGCAAACCCTCAGAGTTCTGTAGAGTTCACAACCAATGTGCATCTGACAGGAAAGAGGAACAAGTGGCCCTCAAGTAACAGTGCTTTCACTGATCGAGGTGTCACAGATGTCACCCCCACCCCCACCCCAGGGCCTCACTATGTACCCCTGGCTGTTCTGGAACCCACTACACAGATCAGACTGTACTTGAACTGACAAAACACTAATCAGACAACCCTGCCAGTCACTGTGTGGTCAGGAAGAAAGTATGACAGGCACTTTCCTTCCCCTACAGCCTCCTGGAAAGACAACATGGGATCAGAGGTCCTAAGGCAATCCTAAAGGACCACCCCAAAGCCTGGAGAAGGGCAGTGGGAAGGTAAAAACAAAAGGGATCTCCCGGTTGAGGAACGGACTGTGCACCCAGAGGACCAAACAAGGGGCCTAGCAAGCATTCCACTACTGGCTAAATCCCAACACAGCTTCATGCTCTTCTAAGAAGACCTGACTGAAGACAATTCAAGTAATCAAGCAAAGGACCAGAACATCCAACTTCGGGCACTATCTTCTCTAAAACGTCAAGTATTTCAGGTGAAGTTTCAACAACACAACGGCAATTTCTGTGGAAATCTGATGGAAAACTCAATTCTACCCCAGACCTTTCAAGGCTTGCTCCACAATGCAGCACCCCAGTTTCCTCGGCCCCTTAGAAAGGCCTCAGCAGCACACCTCTGCCAAAAGAATTTAAATCACTGTCTGTGCTAGCTAGGGTGTGACTCTTAGGTCCATCTTCACGCTTCAGGAAAACAAATTATTTTCTGCCCCTTGAGACATAAATCATCCACAACACAGAAATGTCTTTCAAAAACCTGAGTATATCCCCTTCAAAATGGGGCTCCTGCTCTGTGGAAGGAGCCTAACTGTGACAAATGCCACTCAGCAATCACAGGTGGCCGACACACACTAAGGTCCTCCGAACTCTTAGTTAGTACACCCAGTGCTTACAACAAAGCTCCAACGCTGGGGAAACGGTTCACTGGTTGGAATGCTTGCCGCACTGGCACAGGAACTGAGTTCCTGGCACAGCAATGCACATCTGGGGTCCCAGTGTTGCAAAGGAGGATTCCTGGAGCTTGCTGACCAATTACTACAGCCACACCAGTGAGCAAACCTCCTCAGAAATTAGAATGTAGAATGACTGAGAAAGACACCGTGGTCAACATCTGGCCTCCACATGACTCACAAGGCACAGGGCACGCCACATGCGGCACTTATACATCTATTCCCACACACACCTCTTTCTCCTTTTGTCGTAACAGAGTACGGTTCAGCTGATGCTAGTCTACCATGCTGCAGTAGTCTAAAATCTGTCCTTCACTTAATAGATGCTCATTTGCTTTTGTTTGTTTTGAGACAAGGTTTCTCTGTGTAAACATGTTGGCTGCTGGATATATACTGAAAAATGCTATGCTAGCCAGGCAATGGTGCCAAATGCCTTTAATCCAAGAACTCAGGAGACAGAGATTGGTAGATCTCTGAGTTTGAGGCCAACTAGGTCTACAAAGTGAGTTTCAGGACAATCAGGGCTACAAAGAGAAATCCTGTCTCAAACCCAACCCCTGTACCTCCCAAAGAAAGGAAAAAATGCAATCCTATCCTGATACCTGACAAACCTAGAACTTTTCAGGAATAGAGATTTGTTAATTAATACAGTATCTATTATACTATAATTTGTTATAATATAGTTTTTACTGAGCCCTTTTTTCAAGATTTCTTTATTATGTATATAATTTCTGCCTGTACACCTGCAGGCACGATAAAGCAGTGGTGAATTAAAAGATGAGAGTTCTTAGAGCCAAAGAACAAAAAGACAGAGTTTGCACGCAAATGATGGTACCAGAAAAAACAACATTCATAGTGAAGTAACCTAGACCCAGAAAGACAAACATGGTGTGTACTCACTCAGAAGGGGATAACCTGCAGTCCACAATCCCAGAGAAGCTGGGGAACAAGGAGAACAAGGAGGGACATACATGGATCCTCCAGGGAAGGGGAAAAATGGGAGCAAGGGGGAGGAGGTGTAAGAGGAAGGGGAGGGGAGAAGGGGAGGAAGGAGAACACAAGGAAACAGGACAGCTGAGATGGGGGAAGGGCAGAGGAGGAGATCAAGAAAAGAGATATCTTGATTGTGGGAGCCATTATGGAGCTAGCATGAAATCTGGCACCGGGGAACTTCCCAGGAACCCACAAGGATGAGCCCAGCTAAGCAGTAGTGGAGAGGATTCCTGAACTGGCCTTTCCCTGTAATCAGATTGATGGCTACTTTAATTGTCATCATAGAACCTTCATCCAGCAACTGATGGAAGCAGATGCAGAGATCCACAGCTAAGCACTGGACTGAGCTTCCAGAGATCAGCTCAAGAGAGGGAGTAGCGGTGATATGAGCAAAGGGGCCATGACCATAATGGGGACACCCACAGAAACAGCCGACCTGAGCTAGTGTAGTGAGAGCTCACTGACTCTGGACAGACAGTGGGGAACCTGCATAGGACAAAAGTAGGTCCTCTGAATGTGGCTGACAGATGTGTGGTTGGAGAAGTCTTTGTGGTCACTGGCAGTGGGACCAGGATTTATCCCTACTGCTTGAGCTGGCTTTTTGGAGCCTATTCTTTTTTGGAAGGACACCTTGCTCGGCCTAAATATTGAGGGGAGGGCCTTGGTCCCACCTCAGAGAGAAGTGTCAGACTTTGTTGACTCCCCATGGGAAGCCTTGCCCTGAGGACTGGGTGGTGGGCAGGGTAGGAGGAAGGTGGGGGAGCTGAGGAGAGGAGGGAGTGGAATTGTTATGTAAAATAAGAAAAGATCGCCTTATTTAAAATAAGAACAAAATGACAAACTTGGAAACCACGAGGGGTTAAGGGGCAAGGAGAGCCCAGGAAGAGGGGACAAAGGGAACCAGATGGAAGAGCTCTAAAGGGAAATTACAGGAAGGAGGGGGAGGAAGGGAGCCCTGACTCTGGAGCTCTGCCAGCTGAGACTCAGGATTCCAGCATTATATTGTTGTCGGTTACTGACATCAGACAGTTCTTTCTCAGATGATTATGTTAATAAGAATATTAAAACAGCAACAAACCAGCTGCAAGAGCTGAATGTACATACCTCAGGTGAGGACCTGTTACAGTGGGCACCTGTCTAGACTTCTGCCTGACTGTAAAGCTGCCCTGCTCAACATGAAACTTGTCTCAAAAATGTAAAGAGGAGGGAGAGAAGGAGAGGAAAAGAGAAAAGCTAAGAACTGAGGTGAAAGTTAAAGGTGCAGAAAACATATTCAGTGAAATTATGACACAAACCTTATCAAACTCAGGCGGAGGACATGAAGCACAAGAGGGGTTAGTCACATGACCAGAAAAGGCCTTTTAATAACACATAGTAAAATAGCAGACTCGAGAAAAAAAATTAAAATCTCTAATAAAAAAAAA